CATAGCACAGTCCCTTCTCCTCCCTGTCCTTCTCTGGGTTTGGGGCATACAAGCACACATGCCTAGTTTTCAGCTGCCAGGTCCAGGGCTTGAACAGTGGTCAGCCATGTGGAAGTCCACCCGCGCCAAGGCAGGGCTGGCCAAGAGTCAGCACCCAGGGCCCTTGGCTCCCAGTCCTGATATCCACCGGCGGTGCAGAGGAGGGCTGTCGGGAGAGAGTAAGGTCACCATGTAGAAGCCCTTTAAAATCTAGAGTAGGAATTGGGACTTGGCCCTTTTCTGTCATTAACTTGCAGTGGGTCATGCTTCTCTTTAGGCCTTTTCTCTCACATGTACAGGAGTTCTTTCTTTCTTTTCTTTCCTTTTAGTTTTTTTCATAGGGCATGTGCACTCGCTGGAGAGAAGAGAGACAGAGCGACAGAGAGAGAGGGAGACCTCACCCCCATGGGGGATGGCCATAGCACAGTCCCTTCTCCTCCCTGTCCTTCTCTGGGTTTGGGGCATACAAGCACACATGCCTAGTTTTCAGCTGCCAGGTCCAGGGCTTGAACAGTGGTCAGCCATGTGGAAGTCCAGCACCTTAACTACCAGCTGCCTGCTGGCCCACAGGGTTATTTCTAAAGCCCCTGATGGTTTGAGCATGCCATACTGACTGTGAGTGTGCCTCACTGCCTGGGCTTCTCTCTGTCGTCCTTCCTTTTGTGTCTGCTTTGCCATGGACACGTTTCTGATCTCCCTGTCTACCCCCCATAGACTACGCATCCACCTGTCGGAGTGCCGGGCCCTGCACTCAGGTTCCCCAAAGGTCATCCTTCGTTGCCGTAATCTGGCGTCTCGCAGCCTCTAATCTACTGTGGGCTAGAAAGCTAGACTTTCAAATTCATTACAAATTAGACAAGAAAAAGGAAATAATAAATGATTGAGCAACTTCTTGCTCAAATGACTGAAGAGCAAATTGCTCATCACGATGGGAACTATATCACTGGAATTTATTAGTTGCTGGGACCAGAGTACTGAAGACCACACACTCTAATTTCAGTGACGTACGAATATGCACACAAGATTAGAAGGGAAACACCACAATTTAACCCATTACGTTGAGGGGATGGCAGGTGATTCTGTTTGCGCTGAATTTCCTCTGCACTAGGGTCTGTGCCTTCTGCTCTTTGGCAGGCATGCATTCAGCAAGCACTTCTTCATGCCTGCAGGTGTCTGGAGAGCTGCAGATGCAGCACTTCCTGCGCTGAGTCCAGACACACACATGGCCTGGGAATGGGATAGACAGGAGGTCTAGCCCAGGTGAAGGTGACTTAAAGTTCCAGCGTTCTAACCTCTATAATGGTGGCCTGGGAATCGCCAGGGGGAAGCTATTCCCCTCCCAGTTACATCAATAGAAGCCTGCCAGGGCCGTGGCATGCATAGACCGACAGCTACTGTGTCCCCGACTCCCAAGTTTGCCAAGGGGCAACAGCTCAGGGGTCTTTATACTTTCACTGGGGAGTGGACCTGAGTCCTTTAGCTTGACAGTCGCCTAGCTGCTGTCCCTTCAGCAGTGTCCCCTCCACCCCAGTCCCCGGTTCTAGGCCGGGCCTATGGCTTCCACTTCCACTGAACTCACAGCAGTTCTGGGAAGAATCGTCTCCAGGCAAGTACTGCGGACGAGAGGATATGACACTCCTGCCCTTAGCCCCCAAAATCGAGCGTTTGGAAAAGTAAACTTTGAGATGCTGAATTGCGGTATGGCTCTAAGCCTGCCGATAGGTGCATAGGTAAAAGCAGACGTGAGTAAGCCAGGATTCCTATTTTTGAATAGCAGTTTATAGCTCATTACCGGACCACACTTTTTTGTGATGCACTGATAAAAAACTACTTTTAAATACTGCATTTAGCTTTTGAAGAATATCCTATGTTACACCATGTTTTTATCACTATGAAATACTAACCTAGTGAATATAAACATGTTAAATATGCTACAATTTTGTATTCTTGTTATTTGGGTGGGGGGGAGCCTTCATGTTTTTCTCACACACTGGAGTTTCAAAAATCCAAGTGCCCGACCTCCCTGCACATCTGAGAGGCCCTGGGAACGCGCAGTGGAAAGACACGGGGTCTCGCTCGCCCCGTCAGCCAGGATGGTGCTGTCAGTGGATAGGAGGGAAAATCTGAAGTACATGTCGAGGTCGACCCTGCTTTCTCGGCCGAGCGGTGGTATTCCCTCGACGGCCGTTTTAGGTTATATGTGCTTGTCTTTCTTCCCCTTCTAGATTGCAGGCTCTTTATCGAATCATAAAGTGAACCCCGGAGACGTGAGCGAGCATTCAAGGTCGCCCGGCAGGCAGTGGCAGCGCGGGGCAGAGTCCGAGCCCATTCAGCCTGCTTGGGAAGGTCCCACCTCGACAGCCCTGCTGCTTGGGGGACTCCTGCTCAGAGCTGCTGCGGCTTTTATTTATGTTTAAAAGAATTATTTTATTTTAACTCTATTATTATTTTCCAATTTGCCCAGAGAGAGACAGAAAGAGAGACAGAGGGAAAGTGAGCAAGCAAGCCACCAGGTCTGGGACTTGAACCATGGTCAGCCATGTAGAAGTCCAGCGCCTTAACCACCATGTCACCTGCTGGTCCAGACCATACTCCTCTCTGGGTCTGCTTCCTCGCACTGCTCAGAGCCAGGTAGGAGGGCAGTGCATGGCCGACCGCAGAGAGTGTGTCCGGCCTCTCCACCCACTTCTGCCACAGGTTTTCAAACCAGCACTCAGACTGTGAACCTCAGTCATGAGATACTGATTTTCCCGTTTGCTAAACGAAGACGTCTGGTCCTTTCTACCCCCCAAATCTGTGTCTCGTTCGTCTCTGTGTCTCCTGTGGCTTAGTGCAGATTCCGAGCTTGTCTCCTGATTGGTAGGAAACCAAGAGGTTGGCAATCCTTGTCCCTGAGAACTTTTAAAAAAAGAATTATTATTATTGGGACCAGCAGTTAGCGTAATGTCTATGTCGCTGGACTCCCATGTAGTCGACCGCAGTTTGTGTCCCGGACCCGGTGGCTTAAACTCACGCCAGGCGCGTGTGCGTGCGTGCCCAAGATCCCGAGAGGAGAATGGAGGAGAAGGGATTGCGGCGTGACCATCCCCCCTGGGGGGTGATTTCTCACTTTCTGTCTCTCTGTCTGTCTCTGTCTGTCTGGTGAGCACATGCGCCCTATAGCAAAAAAAAAAAAAAAAACTCTAAAAAAATAAAAAAGAATTATTATTATTATTTTAGAGGTGTTTGCCTTAGGGCCTATACGCTCCCAGAAAGAGACAGAGACAGTGAGAAGGAAAGTGAGAGATCACCCCCCAAGGAGAATGGCCACACCACAATCCCTTTTCCTCCACTGCCTGGTCCAGGACTTGAACCATGGTTGGCTATTGAGAGTCCAGTGCTATGCCAACTGCTGGCCCCAAGAATTATTATTTTTTAAGAAAATTATATGCAAAAATGCATCATGACTTTTCCAAATACCTGATATTTATTTAATTTTATTTATTATTATTTTAATTTGACCAGAGAGAGAGACAGAGACAAAAAGTGAGAAGACAGAGACAGAAAGTTCCAGGTCTGGGACTCGAACTGTGGTCAGCCCTGTGGGAGTCCGGCACCTTCACCACCACACACCTGCTGTCCCCATTTGAGGGAAGCAGGCTTGGCCTGTGTAAGTTGACACAGGCTTTTGGAAGGAAGCTACGAACATTTTCCACGTACTTCCTCTGCCATGGGGATCTGCATCTGAGGCTGTCTACACGTCCCCCGGGACGACCAGGATGCCCGGCATCAGGGGCGTGCACTGTGGGAGTCTGTGCTCAAGGATGCTGTGAGGCCGTACTAGGCAGGGTGGACCCATAGGTGCTCCCCTGGAAGGTTGCTGTGACCTGCTTTTGGCAACAGGAAGCGAGCTGCTCAGAAATGAGCATGAACTTGATCCATGGCCGACCCTGGTTCAAGTCCCAGATATGATCTGGGGGGGAGGCCCACGTGTACCGGGGTGAGAGGTCTGGAAGGTTGCACACCTGGGCATGGGGGTGCAACCTCGTGTCCCTCTGTGGACAGTGACCGTGGGGTGTAAAGATTGTGTGTGTATTATAGTTTAGTGAACCATACTCCAGTGGGAGTTTCCAGTGCTCCCACCGCAAACGGCGCCATTGCACACGTCTTCACGTGCTTGTCCCGGTCAATCTGCGAGAGGATGTCCTAGGAACAGAGCCCCCAGGTCAAAGGCAGCCACGCTGGCCATTTCACGGCCACCGCGGCGTTCCCCTCCGTGGGAGCCACACAATTCCACACCCTCATCCGTAACATTAAATGTGCCTTTTTAAAAATGGAGGTGAAATTCATATAATACAAGACCACCCTTTTTAAGCGTGCAACGCTGGCATTTCAAGCATGCACAAGGTGGTGGGGCTGGGGCTGGGGCCTGGTCTGCAGCGCCTGAGAGGGGCTGAGGATGAGAATGCGTTCACGTGCTCTTTGTCCAATTACAAATGAGAAGACAATGGAAGGGTGTGGGCTTCCAGGCAGACCGCTCTCGTCGGGGCCCCAGGGAGATTACTTATTCCCTGCGAGGCTCAGTCCCACGTCTCTGAGAAAGACGGGGAAAGGAACTCATGTGCCGGGGCTGATGAGGCAGGAAGGCGGCTGCTCGCTGCAGCAGTAGACGTGCCTGCTTTTCTCCCTGTGTGCCATGCCTCCACAGGCTCTGGCCCCGACAGCATGGGTTCAAACCCAGCTCTGCCTTTCTCTATGGATCAACTTTTCTGAGGCTCAGTTTCTATACCTGCAACATAGGGCAATAGGGTGTGGTGAGGCTTGAGGTGTGATGTGTTTAAGACAGTGCCGGCCATAGTAAATGCCCATGAGACGAGGGCCGAGGGCTTTTGCCCGCCCGGAACAGTGCCTGGAACCCGAGGCACCCGCAGGTGAAGGACCCTGACGCTGTAATGCCTGTTTCTCGCCCCTTCCTGCCCCAGGGCCATTGGTGCCAACCCTCTGTACTGTGACTGCCACCTCCGCTGGCTGTCCAGCTGGGTGAAGACTGGCTACAAGGAACCGGGCATCGCCCGCTGTGCCGGGCCCCCGGACATGGAGGGCAAGTTGCTCCTCACCACACCTGCCAAGAAGTTCGAGTGCCACGGTGAGGCCAAGAGCACGGGGTGGGGTGGCCATGGGCACTGGGCGCACCCCTGCTTCCTGCTGCTGGGGCCCCTGGGACTCGCCCAACCACACCAAGGCATTGCAGACTCCTGTGTCCCTGTGGTGACCACTGGGCAGGGGCAGGTGGCAGGAATGTGAGGATGGCTGCCCTCCCATCCTGACATGCAATGAACAAGAAACACCGGGTAGAACCCCTGGCCATCAGGGCTTTAGTCCCTCCTGCAATTACGCAAGGGCAATAAAAATAGCAGCAGTCTTTCTGGAAGCCCCAGCCCCTGTGCGGAGTGAGTGCACACCTCCCACTGCAGACATGCTCTGAGCTGAGCTGGCTGCCCAGGTCCTGGTGGAGCCTGTGGGCTCGGCGGCTGCTCTCCAGACCCTCCGGACGGAGCCTGGGTGCGACTCCGGCCTTGGCCTTGTCATAGTCATAGACACCTGTTCAGGGGTTGATTGACTGCCCGAGGAGCCCCAGAGGTCCTGCTGAGCACAGACAGGTGGCTGCCCCAGGCAGGCTTTGTGCGCAAGCTGCAGGGGTGGGGCACCTGGCTGGCCGGAGGCCCCTGCCCTCTGCGAGCTTGAGCTCCGAGGCCACGTGGGAAATGAAACTGACAGCGCAGGGTAATGAGGAGGCCTCGGCCACACTGCAGGCCGGAGGCTGCCACAGTGGGAGCTGTCTGCTCGCAGAGGCGCTGCTTTGGTTGTGAGGAGCCAGCGGCTTACGCTGGAACTTGACTCAGTGCGTGTTTATTTGTTTTTTATTCACTCACTGTTATGTCATTACAGCAGACAGGATGAACTTTCCCACTCGGAAGGCACTGTATGTTGGCTCAGTCAGAGATGTTACCGTAGACATTATCTTCAACAGATAATGGTCCATTTAACATTTCTTCACTGTTTTACTAAATTCTTTCAGTATTTATTTACTGGGGCGGGGTTGGTGCTGGAGAGAAGAGCTTTTGGGTTTTGAACTTTTAGTGGAATAAAACGCGGGTGGGCAAGTCCGCCGCACGTGAGCGAATGGCCGAGTGTTCAGCTCGAACTCACTTGCCCATCCAGCCCGGGTCAGGGAACAGGACCCCGCCTGGATCCCCGGCCCTGGCTCTTCAGTTGTTAGGGAAATAGCACGTGCTTCCCAGGGAAGGGGTGCCCTGCCAGCCCTGCGCTGCCGGCCTCTTCCCTGCGCTCACGCCGCCCCTTGCCCTAGGCCCGCCCTCTCTGGCCGTCCAGGCCAAGTGTGATCCCTGCTTGTCCAGCCCGTGCCAGAACCAGGGGACTTGCCTCCACGACCCCCTGGAGGGGTACAAGTGTGCGTGCCCCAGTGGCTACAAGGTGAGGCCAGCAGGGAGGGGGGGGTCCCGTGGGCGCCGGGGGGGGGGG